TATCTTTTTATGTATAGTATCTTTGCGGCTATGGTAGGTTTGTCATTTAGTTGTTAAATACGTCGTAGTTGTCGCTTTGTTTGATCCATTAATGTTCTTTCCCTAAAATGGTTATCTTTTTGGTTTCATATTAACTAATATTTAAGTTTGTATAAACTTTCGGTTAGTTATCATTGTATGTTTGGTTATGTATATTTATGTTTGATTTCACTTCTTTTTAAAATATAGTTTTATATAGTCCTCTGGCTTTAATTTTTTTATTTTAATATACATCCAATGCAAAAGGGAGAAACCAGCGAGTTCTACATTGAACATAATATCTTCTCTTCCCTCTCTGATGACCCCAATTGTCATATTGAGGTCATCGTATGTGCAGAATGCAACAACCCAAATGGTCAAATTCTCTATTCAGACGATTCAATACAAATTAGTATTAAAATAAACTAAAAACACTAACCGGTAAAATTTGATATCAAATATAAATAAATATATAGCCCTATCAAAAAAAAATAATAAAATTAAATTCATTTTCAACAAAATTCAACAAAACTAAATATATCTATAGCCCCGAAGACAGCAAACCTAAAGAACGATAAAAATTTTACGAAAAATTACAAACTATCCTGAACGAAATCACTCATGAAGAACCCTTAAGTCTTATGGGCGACTTAAGGGTAGTCATACTCAGTAAAAAAGATAACAAAAAACGCCATGGTTTAGAAAAGAAATAAAAAAGAGATTTTCAGTAATAGTAAGTAATAATCATATCATTACATGACAGAGCCCAAAACACCTGCACTAATGAAAAGGAATTTCTGGAAAAAAAAGTTGCTAACAAAGGTTTTAACAAAAAGGATTTTCGCAGTCTTTTGGTTACTATAAACTCCAGCCCTCTTTCAGATAGTCTGATTTTGTTTCCGGAGTAGTATAGTGAGAATTTATTTTTACGAATTTCTCACGGGCTCTTGCATTTGATTTCCTGAAGTCTCAATATTTTAACTCGTATTTTAAAAGTTCTTCTACCAAACTAATCATAAATCCTGCCTGCATAGAGGGTTTGCACATACCAGGTTCCAAATTTTTAATCCACGATCAAATATACAGAAAAAGTCCTTTGACGAACAAATATTAAAAAAATCTAAAATGCTTGAGATGTCATCAAAAAATGCAGAAATGTCTAGTAATGTGCGAAACTTTAGAAAATGTAAATAAACACATGAAGTTTACAATTGAAAAAACAGTAGTATTTTGAATACTTGTCATTATGTAAAAGTTACAAAAAGTATTTTTTTTATTTAGAATTGCCGCATTAACCATTAGAGGTTATTAGCGGGTTTTACAAATTTTACAGTAACAAAATATACCAATTACAAATTGCGTATTAAATTACAAAATAATATTAATAAAGTAATAATAATAACTATTAAATTTTATGTAATAAACGTTTGTATTTGTAAGGAATTTGATTGTATTTAATATTTTTAAGGAATTTGATTATATTTAATACTGTGACGTAAAAAAATATGAATCATATTAAAAACCTATAAACATGTTGTTTATTCACTTTTATGTTCTAGATTTTATTAGCTGGCAGAAATCTACCTGAAACGGTCGGTCCCAACGATTCGAAGTTCCCAGAAACCGGTCGAATGAAGACCCGGCCGATTTACTTTCTAGTCGAGTTAGAGGGAATTGCCTGAACTCTCGAATAGCTGTATTTGGATATAAATAACGGGATTTTCATTGTGGGAGACCAGTCAGAGAAAAGAAGATCGCGAACGGGTATTTTAAAAAGTAACGCTCGTATTCAAATAAATTATGTAGTTATTATTGTAAGAAAAATTCGTACAAATAAACTTTAAATAAATTAAGTTGTAAGTGTTATAAATATAGAATCTTTGATAAATAATAAAAACAATAAAATAGATTTAATAAAGATATTACAATACATTACAGTTTAAGATATCTTCAAGTTTATTTGCTTCTTCTGGTATGCTATTGATGTCTCTTCCGTAAGAATGAAGAGGGCATTCAATCAATATAAGCTGGACAGTTCTTGGACAGTCACAGTAGGAACATTCAGGTGGTAGCTCGTTTGTTATGAGATGCTGGTGAGTTTATTTGACAGTGTATGTATATGACAGTGTATATGACAGTGTCATATAAATAGAGAAAACTATGCAGTAAATTACAAGGCAGACACAAGGCAGTTGAGCAATATCTACTGTAATATTCTTAGTATGTCTAAATAATTTTTCTGTTAACAATTATATTTTAAATCACCCTGTATATTTTTAATGTGTAATTTTATTGTGTTTTAATTGTTTCGTTGTTTTTGTTTGCTCTGTTTTTATATTTTTACATTTAATTACTAGTGACCTAGGTACTTTTAACAAAAACTGTCAGTACTGTTTTGAACAAATTATGTTCAACAACTTATTTAAATACTTTCCACTCTAAATCTGTAAGTGAGTCACTTTTTATTTAAACTGATTTTTATATAACTTTTATTCAAATTTTTAGTTGTCTCCTGATGAAGCTGACAAAAAATCAGCGAAATATAGAGGATTAAAAGAAAAAAGAGATTTTTTTTAATAATAACAGACCGCATACCCGATATTCCAACACAATAATTTGTTTTTTACGTTTCGGTAGATAATCTTACCAGTTTTGCTATATTATTGTCAATAACTACTAAGGCATCATGAGTTGATCTGCCTTTTCTGAAACCGCTTTGGATATGGATTAATAATTGTTTTTTTTTTTCAAGGAACCATATTAATCTTTTATTTAAAGTTTTTTCTAGTAGTTTGCATGTATTATTTGTAAGAGTAATTGGTCTATAGGAAAGAGGGTCAGTTTTTGATTTGTAAGGTTTTAAAATTACAATAATTGTTGATTCAGACCAGATTAAAGGAAATTTTTTACGACAAATTTTTGATAAATATAATTTATATAGAACTTATAGTAGAGACATAGTTTGACCATGTTTCTTTTTTACTTTTTTTAATAAGACATTTAGTTTTTGCCTTAAGTTTTTTTTAATTGTTAACGTTTTCTGTTGTTTCATGTCTTTTTAAAACATTAAAAGCATGTTTGCTAGATTTCATAGCTAAAGCTATTTCTTCGTTCCACCATGGTACCGGTTTTCGTTTACATGATTTTGTTTTTCCCACCGCAATATTAGCACATTTTAGTAACGTATCATTGAAATGATCAAGACTAGAATCTATGCTATCATCTGAAATAAAGTTCGTAAGATTTATTAGATCACTATATGTCCTAGTGTGCTGAGTTTAATTTTCATTTTTAGTAAACAGGAATATTGGGTTGATCATGCCCAATGGTTTCAATTCTTAGAGGAAAATGATCGATATTATAGGTACAAGTAATCAAGGCTGTTTCAAGAGAAATTTGCAGTTAAAGAGTGATCACAGAACGATATATCGATGGCAGAGAAAGTACTATTGTGGGAGCTAAAATGAGTACATTTACCAGTATTTATTAATATTAGATTTTGATTATCTATTAATTTCTCAAGAATTTCCGTTTTTATACTAGCACATGTGATATTATAACAATTCAAATCACCAATTATTAGTTTAGGAGCAGGAATATTATCGATTAAGGGCTGTAAGTCTTCAAGTACATTTTCATTTGGACGAGGGAGGTAAATGTCACATATGTTAATAGGTCTGCAGTTGATATTGCATGATAGAGATACAGAAACGGGTTTCAAATTAGTGTTTAGGTTAATTTTTCTTGCTTCTACACAATTTTTTGCGAAAATACGTACTCCGCCGCTGGCGTGTTGTGTGTCGCGATTTTTGAAAAAGCTAGTATAGTTTTTAATATGCACGTTATTGATTTTAAGATGTCTTTCTTGTAAACAGATTATTAGGGCAGATAATTCTTTAGTTAAAATATTAAGAGATTATGCTGTAGTAGCCATTTAGACTCCATTGTAAAATAAATGTATTAGCCATTTTGGATAGGTAAATGAGAAACAGAGTTACCACTTTCTATATCTGATGAGGACTTAGCGCTATTGAGTTGTAATCTTTTTCTTAGTATTGTTAATTATGAGAGGAGACCTCTCATAAAGAAAATACCTTCTGCTCCACCCGTCAACAAAAATCCTACTGTCAGAAATGACTGCTGCCACGCCAATCCCCACGCTGGCCCCACGCCAACCTCCACCCAAACCACGTCACGATCGAGGGTATAAATGACCCGTCCTCATGCTTTGATTGTTTGATTAGTGATCACTGTAGTAGTGTCTGGGGTTCGGTAGACTGAGAACTCGGAAGCCCAGAACAAGACATCAAAGAGGATGTCGAAAGCTCGGCGCAATAAAAACCGACGTGGTTCAACCCGGAAGACTGGTCAGTTTAATATTAATTCCTATAATAGTATTGACCTTTCGGAACATAGTATAATTACAATAGAAACTTACCTGCTCTTCTCTTAACGCATGTACGGCCTTCTGTTGCCGATATTCCAACTCTTGCGTTTTCTCGTGGTGCCGTAGCAGCATAGAATGAGCCTGTTCTAACTGATGTTGTCGTTTGTTTAATTCTTGTCTCAGTAACTCTTGTTCTAACTGATGATAGGTCATTAATTTTTTTCTTCTGAATTTTCGTAGTTCCAGTTCAAGATACTCCTTCTGACAGCGCAACAACCGTTGTTCTTCTAGTGCATCTACTACTTTTAAGTTGTCTTTGTGAGTCCTAAAAAGTGATTAATTTTTAAAATTAATTATAACGTACGTAACTATAATTGTAATGGTCATGCATTTAGCGGCAAAGACCATGTCGTTTCTATATGACATGTGATCAGTAAGTGTGAAAAGATTATACACCCTCCAAGAGTAAGGCAAATGCTTAAACGAATATAATCAGTTTAAGTTTCAGTTCCAAATCATACAGATAAAAGAATCCAAAGTTCCACGAGAATGGCCTAAAGTGTTTTAAACAATAAGGAAATTAATTCAACAGACAATAAAAAAGAACGGAAACGTACTTATATAACTGTGTGTGGAGTTTCAGTGAGAATCAATAAAAATTATGTGGAGTGATAAAGATGATACGAAGAGAAAAATAATAGAAAAAATGAAATTGATGATGGGACAGATGTAATAGGAGTAAAAAAATTACCAAAATGACGACACGATTTAACACAAAAATGAAAGAAAATATACGAATGATAATATGATGAGTACAAAGAATAAATTCTAGTAGTGTGTGAACCCAATAAAGTCGAAATGCTATAAGAAAATGACATGTTTTGGAAAATATTGTCAAAAGGATTGGAGGAGTCTAATGAAGTGGTTTATGAACTTGGAGATTTCCACGGGAGAATAAAAAAAAGATGCAATTTTTCCATTACTATTGAGTAATACGGACAAATGATACGAAACGATTATGGAAAAAGACTACTGGGATGATGTATACAAGAGTTAGACGTAAGAGTTAGAAGAAGGCCAGAGACAAGAGTGATCATTATATGTTGATGACTAAGATAAAAGAAAAGAAGGCGAATAAGAAAAAAAAGCACTATAAAACACGAAATGGTTTTCTGATTATATAAAATGTTCCGTTGCGATATAAAATAACTAACGAAGGTACAGTTTGCTGTTCTTCCTTTAACTTTTTTTGAGTAACAGGTTTCTGATTCACAGATGATTTTCTTTGAGATCGATTATGGAGGCGATAATTACAGGGAAAAAATTGACCCACTATTGTTTTTTTTTCCTTTTCCCTATTCGGATTGTCGAATATGGGCCTCTCCTAATTCTCGCCATTCATCTCTGTTGTTTGTAAGGCGTTTCCACATTGGCCCTGCAGTTTTTTTAATATCGTCGCTACATCGCATTTGCGGTCTTCCTCGTGGTCTTTTGGCTTCATATGGCCACCAATTCCCGATTTCTTTATTCCATCGGCCATCCGTAAGACGTTCGTTATGTCCAGCCCATTTCCATTTCAGTTTAGCTGCCTGTTCGACAGCATCTTTTACTTTTGTTCTATTACGAATGTCTTGATTGGTTTTATGGTCTTTTGAGTAAGATACCCAGCATCTGTCGTTCCATAGCTCTGATCTTCTCCATGTTTTTTTTAGTGAATGTCCAGGTTTGAGCTCCATATGTAAGCACAGGTAGGATACAGGAATTAAACACTTTGGTTCGCAGTCTTTGAGGTATGTTTTTATTTTTAAGTACGTATGAGAGTCTTCCGAATGCTGCCCATTTCATTTTTACACGTCTGCTTATTCCGGTAGTCTGATTTTCTTTGCTTACCTTGAGATTTTGACCGAGATATGTATATTCCTCATAGTTCCCCATTTCCCCTGTTTATCATAGGTTGTCATCTTTGTTTTGACATTAGTTTAGTTTTACTGAAATTCATTTTCAGTCCTTTTTTAGTGATTCTGTGTGTAGGCATCGTCTTCAGTGCATTTCACATGTCGGCTATTAGTACTACATCATCTGCGTATCTAAGATGGTTTAAATATCTTCCGTTAATAGGGATTCCCTTATTTTCCCAGTCTATTGACTTAAAGATATCTTCTAGGGCAGCTGTAATAATTTTGGAGATATTGTGTCTCCTTGTCTTACTACTTAATTTTTACTGGTCTTGTTTCGAATCCATTACCCAATGTCACTATCATTTCAGCTTGTTCGTAAATATGTATTAGTATTCTGTATCTGGATTCGATCCGGTTGTTGACTAATGCTTCTTCTATTGCCCACAGTCCTAGCTATCAACAGCTTTTTCATAATCTATAAAAGCCAGACATAATGGGAGATTGTATTCGTTAGTCTTTTCCATTATGATTTTTAAAGTGTATAGATGGTCACAGGTGCTGTACCCTTTTCTAAATCCGGCTGGTTTTACTGGTTGATATCCGTCAAATTTAATTGTTAACCTGTTTGTAATAATCATTGTAAAGGTTTAGTAAAGTTGTCAAAGAAGTAAATTTGGTCGATAATTTTTCAGGTCTGTGGCGTCTCCCTTTTTGTGTATTAGTATTGTTTTGCAGTATTCCATTGTCCGGGTATGTGGCCTTGGAATATACATTTATTAAATATTATTTTTAGATATGTGATGACTTCCTCTCCGACTTCCTTCAGCATTTCTGCTAGAATTCCATCGCTTCCAGGAGCTTTATTCCTTTTCATTTCTTTTACTACTCTTTCTATTGCTTCGTGGCTTATTTCGGGCATCACTTCTGAGTTGACATTTGTTATCTGCCTTTTCAAGTTCTGCTTTCAGGAGTTAGGGTGATCGTTTCTGGAACGGTACAGATCGGCGTAGAACTTTTCAATTGAGTTTGCAATATTAAATTTACTTTTTTCTAGTTGTCCTTGTTCATTTTTAACAGTTATTGTTTTTTCTTCCTAGTTTCAGTTTGGTGCATTTGAGACTTCGGTTTTTCTCTATGATTTGTTCTATACAGTCTTCTTGAGTTTTTTAATGTCCTCTTTTATTTGTTTTCTTATTATTCGATTAACTTCCTCAAATTCTGCAGTGTCTCTTTTGTTTTGGACTAAAGTATAAGTAATATTTAGACCACATGGTCAGTTGCTGTGCTAATTTTTAACAAGTTGCTAAATGTTGTTAGTTAATTGATTGTTTATACAATACTACCGTATAATGTCCATTTACTTGAGTTTTATTCACAAACTTGTTAATATCTTTGACTGCTACATTGTTTTTAAGGTAACACTTATTGGCGACGTGCAAGTACTTGGAGGGGATACGAGAAACGATCGTGCGCGAGTAGTGGAGAAATCTTGCATTTTTTACTGTACATTTCATAGATTATAGATTTTATAAATTCATATTGTCAATTGTCATATTTCATATTCGTTTTGTTTATTTACACCTTCTGTCACTGAAGAAAATGGGATTTAGGAAATGCTGTGTTATAAATTGTAAAAATACAACAAAAAATTGTCAATTTAAGTTTTATTCGTTTCCAACTTCGAAGCACAAAGCTACTACAAAGAGAAAAGTGGATTTATATCATAAAAAAGCATAAGTAACATAACCTAAATTATGCATTATTCTTGCGCCCGATTTTAAAGTCAGCTTGAAATAAATAATAAATAAAAGTTCACTTTTAAGTGTAAATTTTAGTTTCATAACACTCACTTAGAGTTCATTTTAACCCAAAAATCAAGTTTAATGTTTGAATTTTATTTTTGTGAAGTTTACAAAAATGCATCAAGTTCAAGTTTTTCTGAAGATGCATTAAGATATATTCGCTGTCCAAAAGTTTACAGGGAAAGAATTAATTGTTCAAACCAATATGATGATATCATGGGCTTAACCTGCTAATTTATGCAATAGCAATATTTATGGTAATTTATTTTTCTTAATTCTTCCACTCCACATAATTCTTCCATTCTTTTTTGACATTTGCCACTACTAAAGCTTTTCCCTTTGACTCGTGCTTGGTTGAAAAGTTATTCGGTGATTTACTTTCTCAAATCCAGTTTTTATTATTGCATCCATATTAACAGTAATGCTGTAATTCAATAATATATTTATTTCTATTTACGCTACATCAACTTTTACCTTTTAATAACATACCGACATAACCTCAATCTTACTTTTTCTTCTTATTCTGTTTTGGGGCCACGTCCTTGACAGTTATCCGGTAACCTCGATCTAACATTAAAGCGCAGTAAATTTGGCTGATTTACGACACCAGGTGTCGCTGTTCCGAACTTGCACGGTCCCAATAACATTCAAAATAGATAAAGTAACCTATCAACTTTGTCTTTTATTTCTCCACCTTGAGACCGATATAAGAACCCACCACTCTTCTGAGTGATCCTTATAATATATATATATATATATATATATATATATATATATATATATATATATATATATATATATATATATATATATATATATATATATATGTTCGGATAGATTTCCGCGGTCAGATAAATAACTCATCCTTAGTTACCAATCTTCCAGAATACTCTTCCACTGAATAATATGGTCTTTGAGATAGATAGGTTTTTGTCATTTTACGGAACTTAACGATAGAATTTGTAAGTTGCAGAGGGGGATATGTATAATTTTTTTGCCGAATATAATATAGATTTCTTTACTAAGTCAGTGAACGGGATCGATAATTACACATCAAAGTATGAATTTCTGGTGGAGTAGTCATGATTGAGTCTTGTTAGAAAAACATGTAGGTATTTACCAATTAAGAAAATAGTTTCTAGAATATACGAAGAGGGAAGAGTAAAAATCCCGTGATATTTGAAGTAGCTTCTACAATGTGTTATTCTTCTGAGTGCAAGAAGATACCGTATTGCTCTTTTTTTGTAATTTAAAAATAACATTAGATTGGGCAGCTGTACTAGAACCGCAAAAATGAAGGCCATATCGAAGATGAGACTCGAACAAAGAAAAATATGTTATTGGAAGATGCTAAATTGATTTCCTCTAAAACAGATCTTATTGCATAGCAGGCTGAGACTAGTTTATTACTAAACAAATTGATATAAAGGAACCATTTAAGGTTGTTGTCTGTAAAAATACCATGAAATTTTACAGAATCAACGATACTGATCCGGCTATTATTAAGAAGCAAGGGTTGAAGAGCTCCTTTATAGGATAATGCTACTGTCTTATTCACGTTAAAAGATAGTAAATCAGAGTCGGACCAGGTATTTATTTTAAGTTGATCAGAAGTTATAATTGCATGAAGAGTTGCAATATTGGAGTTCCTCTAGGTAATACTGGTATCATCAGCAGAAAGAAAAATTCATCGCTGCTAGACATGTCTGCAACGGTTTTATTTCTAAAACATATACTTAATTAGATAATCATAATCCTTGTTTTTATAAATTAAACTAAAAACTCACTTTTTATAAATATTACGTGGAACATATGAAAAAGTATTATCACCAAGTAACAACTCTACAGTTTCAGTTTCTGATGCTGTAATGGTGCTCGAAGATGCGTTTTCTGTATCTATATTTTCCTTGTTGTCTTCATTGTCATTTAAACATCTAGAATATTCAATTTATGTACATTAAAGAAGAGTATTAAAATTGGTTTAAGATTGAAATAATCTCATACAAAATATAGCCAAAACTCACCTCCTTTTTAATAGTTTAGGAGAATTAGATTTTACATTAAAGCCCAAGTCTGTCTCCATATTACATTCTTCAGTATCAATAAAACTTCTAAAATATTTGAATATTAAAATGAAATAAGTAATCAAAATCCACATTTAGATTTTATTTGTAAATTTAATAAACAAATTCGATACAAACCCACCCTTTTGAAGGTCCATAAAAATCATCCTTATCAATACTACTGGAAGCTGTTGCTTTATTTTCCATATCGTTTGTAGAACTAAAACATTGAATTATTAAAAAAAAAAAAAATAAAAAAGACATGCTATCAATATTATGGAATATGCTACGAGTATGCATTATATTTGGTTAAATTTAATTTTCGGACAATGAACATAACCTATAGATATGTATATATTTCATTGAAATTAATATATTTATAGCAATTATAGTGTAGATTAGAAAAAATAAATAAATGTATTTATAATACTACAAAATTAAACTTCAATTCATGTCAAGCATTAAGTATTATCACATCCCTGTACTACGTCTCTGGACATAATTCCAATGTTTACTTACGAATGAAATGACAGTTCTGGATGTAAATATGAAGTTTTCCTGCATACAACACAGTTACGCACCATTATTACACTTAACTATCAACTATTCTTCACTTCTAATTTAAAATATATTAATAAATTCACTACAATGTCACAAATAAGGAAATTATCAACTCAAAGGTAAACAATACAACGCCATATTCCTTTGCGTCAAATCGCTAGGATTGGTTGATATTACCAATGATGCCAAGTTTTACAAAAGTTAAGATTATCAGAATATATTTTCTTTTAATAAATTAAAAAATTAATTTTTTTTTCTTTTAATTCCTTGGTTGCGAAATGAGTATATCTAAAAATAGTTTATACTAACTAGAAAATATATTTTTACTTATAGATTAAAAATAAATTACACTAAAAATCGAAAACTATTTCGAAGATTGACTCGCAAAAAAAATAATATGACAACGTCAAATTAGGGATTTGTGCCTATGACTGTGAATATCTCATGACTTCAAGTATAGATGTAAACAGACCGGTCCATCTTTATTTATACGTCCATGGATCTTAGCGTTGAAGTCTCCTATTATCATCGTATAAGTGCTGTGATAATTCGTGCTAGTTTCTGCAATTTTCTCATAAAATTCGCCTATCTTTTCATCGGGATGTGCTGCGGTTGGAGAGTATACTTGAATAATTTTCAGGGAGATGTTCTCGTTTACATTCTAATATATAATTTACATTCATACAATCTAATCATTGCAATTATTTCAGATATTCCTACGAATTGCTCTACATATTTCTTGGAAATTAAATTGAAATATTTCTTGGAAATTGAAAATCGTACGCCATCTAGGCTTTCTTCTTCTCGCCCTTTGTAATATAAGACGTTACCGGGCTCTAGTGTTATGCACTCTTCCCCTTTTCTTTTTACCTCTGCTAGATCAATTACGTCCCACTTTAAGTCCTTGATGTCTTCTTCAAGTTCGTAGACTTTTTCATCTTTGCTTAACTATATTTAGAGTGGCGATGTTCAATCGTGTAGGTTTTAGCGATTTCTTGCTTCCCCCAGATTCCATTAAGCTGTCCTTTTTTCCAAAGGGGTGGGATTTGCGATTACTGTATGGTCTACCCTTTGGACCCATTCCTTTTGTTTTAGATATCGCCATATTCCTAGTAGTAGGTTTTTTAGCCTTAAAACACCACGCTGGCTAGACAGGTTGGTTAATGATTTTATACAATCCCTAAAATCAAGGTATTGCCACTTCCACCATTCACTATTGTGAATGCCACTATTGTATAACTCTGTGAAAATTATTTTTGTTGGCCAACTGTTTAAAAAATATATGGTAAGGAGGTAGGTAAGTGAACTGACTATTTCTTATCACGAAGATTCGCGAAAGATAGTTCTGTAATGCATATGTTAATTTGTTGTTTAAAATTTCACTGAGCATATGAAATATGTACTCGTGGCATTTGTTGCATTATTACCTTCCATATATTGGACAAATTGATTCGCGATTTTGTTACATGGTTCTAATGAGTGACAGAATCGAATTCTTTCAAGAATCGAGAACTCGATACCGGAGAGCCTCTAAAAATCGAGAACTTTCTCGAGAACCGGTATTCGTTTTTATTTATTTTTGTTTGTTCCCGAAATTTTCATTATGTTACTTGGTTATATTATTGGACCTCTAAAAATATTTACTTCCTCCTTCTAAAAACTAACTTCCCCGCTTATATTAATAAACGCATAACGGTATCCGCTTCTAAAAATAGCTGACAACAGAGCACCTTAATATAATAGCGAGTAAAGAGACAGCTTTGTCAGCGAGTAATCGATTATTTCAGTTTAATGTCTCGAGACATTTCGATAACTTTCAGGAATCCAATTCAAGTCAAATCTGGGTATTAGAGCACCCGATCACTACTTCTAGTGTTTCTACAATTATGCATTTAATCAATTAATCAATAATTCATTCATTTTTCTCCGATCAATAGCTAAATACAAATTATTTTATCATGAAAGCTATTGTAGACAAGTTTATACAATATTTCGACCAAAAAGATAATATTTGTTATTAGATATTTTTATGTGGCATTTAGTCCTAAGCAGCATATTTGTAAATTACTTACTGTAGTGTGGCATCCCTCTGTCGTTTTGGTGTCGAATCGTCCTGTGACAACTCCCGTTTCCATCTTTCCTTATTTGCTTTATATTCTTTCTTTCTATGAGCATCGAACGCCTTTCTGTCCATATCTTGCTGACTACTAATATCTTTCATCATCTTCTTTTCACCGGCCAAATTATATTTATGTTTCCTTTCAAGCTCTTGCTGATGTTTAATCTAAAACACACGCATGTTAAATATTATTTATATTCAACTAATAAAAAGATATAAATATCTATATTTACTTGTAATTTTTCTAATTCTTTACTAAAGTTTTGAAGCAAGCTCTCGTACTCTTTATCTAGTTGGTTTTTATGCGCCTCCATTTCCATCTTACATTTGTCTTCCAGTTTTAACAAGGCACTTTGATGTTCCCTACGCATTCTTTTATAGCCAGACATCTGTTCATGCATTTCCTCCTTTAACATAAAAAAGCATATTTTAATTTATTAAACTTTTGTATAGTTTAATTTCTATAAGGAGAAGGAATGAGGTTACAGATTGAAGCAAGCATATAGCTTATAGCTCATGCTTGCTTCAATCTGTAACCTTGAAGCAAGTATATATATATATATATATATATATATATATATATATATATATATATATATATATATATATATATAAAGTAAAAAGTAATGGCATGAAACACATTACAGTAATGACGTCATCGTTTTTTTTAAATGTAACACCCAGTATTTTAGGACATTTTTAGATCGATAAAAATGAGCTGATTCCAAGTATAATACTGGGGTTCTAAAGGATATAATTTGAAAAATATGCGCTTAGAAAATTAATTTTTATTGATTTATAATATTAATAAATTATAATAAATAACTTAAAAGTAATCCAGTAATTAATACATGACTTATTCTTGAATGTTCGAATTGTAGCCCTTTTTGTATTTGACAGTAACAAAACGTTGTACAAATTCTTGTAGAAACTTGTTTATGCTTTCTTGAGAAATATTGTTTTTAAATCTTCAATATTTGCAGGTTTCGTTTTATAAACAACATTCTTTAAATGACCCCACATAAAATAATCCAAAGGATTGAGGTCTGGCGACCTTGCTGGCCATTCAATATGTCCACGTCTTCCAATCCACCTGTTCGGAAAAATTTCGTTTAGGTACCTTACGAACATCTAAAGCATAATGCGGAGGGGCACCATTATGTTGAAACCATAAACTTTTATCAAAACCTCCAAGATTAATTGTACTGGGGAATAAATTAATCAAAGTAGGTACGAGCCCATACGTTTACCTTTTGCGGGTATTGTGTATGATAATCCCGCATCCAGTTGGAGTTTTCTTTTGCCCAGTATCTACAATTTTGACGGTTGACCTCGCCATTTAATTTGAATGTAGCCTCATCAGAAAAAATAATATTTTGAACCAAGGGAGGGTTTCGGTGGCTGTTATCCATCATTATTTCGCAAAATTGTATTCTTTTATCTGGATCATTCTCGTTTAATTCCTGTACGACTGTGCATTTTACTTACTTTACTTACTTTTACGTACTTTGTGTACCGTTGTATTGCAAACATCGAGATCAATACTAACCTTACGAACACAAGTGTGCGCATCTTCTTCAAAAGCAAGTAGAACATCTAATGTTGTAACATAACCGTACCAGTTTCTCGAAATTTCTTTTCAATCTTACCGTTGACTGCGTGATGGGTATTTCTGGATATTTATCATTAAATAAATTACACACTTCCATCTGAGTTCGCGATTTGTTTCCATACCCAATCATCATGAGTATTTCAATTCTTTGCTTTACACTATAATTCATTTCTATTTAAAATTAATTCTAAGTATTAATACAGAAAATTAACGAATTAGTACAATTATTGTACTACTTAATTGTTATTGAACGTTACTAATAGTATATTACATAACGAGAGTTGTAAGAAGCTTATTATATGCGAGTAAAATAGTTGCGTGCGAGCCGCGTAGCGGCGAGCGCAGTAATTTTACAAGCATGTAATAAGCTTACAACTCAAGTTGTGTACTATACTTTTTCTAAGATTATTTTCATTTATAAAAATAAAAAGTATAACAAATAACTTTTATTTATTTAACAAAATGCGGAAACAATTTAAATTAAACATTTATTTATAATAATTAATTGTAAATTTTTATCAATTATTTATAACTATACACTTATATACTATACACTTTTCTTTGCGGATGACCAGGTAGTAATTGCCGAAGACAGCTACGATCTTAGCTATATGGTAAGAAAACGGCAAGAATAATATGAGGTGGCAGGTCTATCTCTCAGTGGGAACAGATGAAATATGTGACCTAGTCTTGGAAGACGACAAAATCAAAAGCGTACAATCCCGAAAATATTTGGGGGTCATTTTCAACAAGAAGGGAAATAGCGGAAAAAGATGGAAATTGGGGGCCGAGAAGCGTCGACAGCCGTAATCAATCCGTTATTATTATTATATTTATAACTATACCCTTATCCGAGTTTGGCGGTTATTCAATAATACGTGGTGAATGGTGAGATGACTAAGACGAATATATGAAGGCATAAAAGAACAAGGTTTGTGGCGCAGGTGTTACAATTTTGAGTTGTATAGAAGTTTTGGAGAACCTGACGTTGTAAAATTCATTAAGGTAGCACGCCTTAGATGGATAGGTCATGTAATCAGACGAGAAGAAGATGCCATAGTCAGAAAAGTTTTTGACCGAAGAGGGCCGATCGGACAACGAACAAGAGGAAGACCGAGACTTAGGTACCAAGACAACCTAGAAAATGATTTAAAGTCTATCGGAATTAGAGCATGAAGAAAAGTTGCCAGAGACAGGGGCGAATGGAGGATTGTTCTGAAGAAGGCTTTGGCTTATAAAGAGCTGTAACGCCACTGATGATGAATGGTGATTTGACGCAAACTGTACGGTGTGTTCTTTTGAATTGGATTGAATTTATAATTCTATTGGCTGTTATACAGGACATATCCTTCGGCCGTTGTTGAAGATTTCCATCCGCCATGTCGTTTACGAGCCATTAAATCACCACCGGCATCTACAAAATAGTGGCAGAAGTTCGTCTTAAACAGATGACCTGTGTACATTTTGGGATCTGGTAACTTTAAATATTCGCCTATTTTTTTAGGAACACCTCCTATTTTATTTATTCCTACCACCTGTTTCGTACATTTGCATCTTTGATAATTTAGAAAAAATTGATTTATTTGCGGATCGCTAATCTGTAGTCGAATTTCTATATATTGTTTGCAGATTTTATAGAAATTTCCGGAAATAACGAAAGATCTACATATTTTGGTTTTCGTTTAAGGAATTTTAATCAATAAAATGGCACTTAAATCAACAATGTCACAACTTTTAAGATTTTTTTAACTCTTGTTTCCTACAAGCTCCACATATTCCAATAATTGCAATAACCTTAAAATAAAAGTATTATAAGTAGGCACATTTATATTATGTAAGAGTACGTTTTCAGAAAATAAATTTACATTATTTGTTGTACGCCAATCCATAAATTGCTGATATACCTTTTCATATCTTCCTCTAGATTTTTCTGGTAATAGGTTCTCGGTAGTGTTCGCAGTAAACTGCATAATATTGTGTGGTGTGCTACTAAATTCATCTTCACTATTCGATGAACTCATTTTATTTATCTGTATTTAAATTACAACTATATTTACACTGACAGATTAATAATTTTTAATCTGTGAAAATAACGTTTGTTAATTCGTTTCCATGGTAACTCGACCAACTGACTTACAAGGCTTATGTGATATTACACATTTTTATAGAACTGAAGCGTAATTTTTTTATTACGTGCTAGTCATTACGAGTCAGTATCTGTTTTGATGTATTTGCTTGGCATCCAAATATTAGGTAATTTACAATTTAGTAGTAAGAGAGTAGAAAATAGCATATTATGCAGTGAGTGTTTAATGGTGGTCATTACGATGCGAGTATCCTTATCGCCTTTTCGTAAAAATCATCGATATATCTACATGTTCGTAAAAATATTTAATCTTTAAATTTATCAGTTTGTTTAATATAAATATTGAATGAATATGAATATTGGAAACTTTCAAAGCGTATGCATTTGACTTGACATTGCCCATTGCGTATGTGCCACCTTCGATATAGAACTTCATCTCGCGATTCTATTGGTTAAAAATCTGTATCATAGTTAAGCCAATTATTATACAGGTATGAAAATTGTAATTGATATATTAAAGTATGACAGTACAGGAAATAGTTTCTAATTCGCACCTTTCTTTATGAGACCGAAGATCTTAATGAGATTTAATTACAAACTTGTTTCAAATCCAGCGGTTAGAAATTTTTAAAAATAAATTCTTATCAGTTTTTTGTACGTCTCTAATGACTATATAATTACGGTTTTAACCCTCGAGTGGAGGCGCTGGTGCAATAGTGCTACTAATATTACTTTATGAGTGGGTGGCGCTTGAGTATTGGGTTATTTGTTATTAGAGTTGACAAAGTCAGTTCCATCAAGGGATCAGGTGCAATGACTCCGATTCCGACTGCAGACTCGGTTCATTTTTGCAGGTGCAGGTGCACCTGGTAACCTTAACAGGTTTTGACAACAAACTGTAACTAAATCACGTTCTACTTTTCTTAGATCAATCTCAATTTTTTGGTTCTATGGTTCTATTCTATGGTTTAAAGTATACAGAAAAGTAAAGAATGTCTCTTAAATATATACTAGTTACGGAAGAAAGGTAAAGAAGACGTATACACTTTGCAGTATTTACTGTTGTAATACGGATTTACAAAAAGTATCATGTTTCTAGCCATTATTGTTACTTTAATTTTATGTTAATGATATATTAAAAATATAAACCCAAACTATTTTTATTCTCTACGGAATGTTACAAATTGCTTGTTGTAGTTATTAAATAAATACCATATAATTATGTACACTAATAGATGGCCAAGGGCTGTCGCACGACCGGTAATTCACAGGAAATAATTTGTTCAAGAAGAAGAAATATCCAGTGTTTTTTTTTTGACAACGGACTGTTGGACTTCTATAAATGGTGAAAGCTTTTTGGCAGTAACAATGTATTTTGTAGATAAATTGTTTAACGTCCGACAAATGTTACTAAAATGCCACCAACTTAGTGAACGACATACTAGCATTAATTTATCAAGAGCATTGCAAACTAATATAGAAGAATGGTCACTAATAAATAAGGTATCTCTCATAGTTTCCGACAATGCGGCGAATACTAAAAAAGCAATAGAAGACTTGAATGAAGCATCTTGGCTGTTTGGACATAGTTTAAATTTAATTGTGCAAGATGCTTTACAACTAGTTGAGCCGCTGTCACCAAAGTAAAATTAACAGTGACCCACTATAAAAAAAGTTCAGCAGCTAATGATAAATTATTGCAGTATCAA